ATTTGAAGATCAGAAAGAGAAAATAGATTAGCTATACAAAAGTATAGTTTTTTTTTTAAATTTATCTTCTATTAATGAATATTATATTAGTTCGAGTACGTCATAGCTTTTTTTATTCAGAATTAATGTTTAACGATTTAGTACACGCAAAGTTGAGAGTACTTCGGTTGCTTTTCTTCCACTTCATCTATAGCACCACGGCCTTTTTGCCTTTGAGGAGGGGCTTGGCTAACTTCTTAGCGGCTTTACTCCCACTGCTCACAAGGCGCCGCGTTTCGACGCCTTTGTTCGCGCTACTACTACCGTTTGTCAATATTTTCTTCATTTTACTCGATCCCCCCGCGGCGACGATGGCGCCCTCCCGCTTTCGAGGCGTCTCCATGCTTTTAATCTTTGGCGCCCTACGCCGCCTTCCATCCTCCTCCTCCTCTACATCCCTTGCGGTATCCTCCACGACCACCTGATCTTTATTTTTCGTAGCTTTACCCGTACTCTTTGATTGCCCTTTTTTTTGTGTTTTTTTCTCCGAAGTGGGGGCCTTATGCCAAGTTGACTTTTCCAGCTCAAAGACATACTCCTCCGGGCCGTCGTCCTCGCCCTCTTCATTTTCATTGAAGGGGTCGTTTTCGGGGTTGGAGGGGCCTCGTTCGGGATGGACGTTATCGGCCTCCTTATTATTATTATGATGATTATTTTTGCTATTTAACATCCGCTCCACATCCGCCGTTGTGAGGGCATGCCCGGCGATCGGGGCGTTCGCGTCGAGGACTTCGTAGTTCGTCGCCTGCGGGTGCGGCCCGTTCGGGTCCGATTTGCCATAAAAACACGTCCGCGGCGGGGGTAATTTCAGCGGTTTGGTGAAATCGATTTGGACCGGGTCTGAGGGATTTGGGTTGCCCCCCCTGCTTGTTTTCGGCGCGCGGGGGTCGAGGTCGGGGTTCAAAAAGTGAAAACGCGTCTCCGGCTCCTGCGGGGGGACCGCGCTGATCCCGCCTTTCGACGTGAGCTCCAATTTGTGGTGAAGGCCGCGAATGCGGGCTGCGGTGCGCTCGCGCTCAGCCTCCGCGCGCTGGCGACGGTGGAGTTTCTTCCATTTCGAACGTGTGGACTTTGCCATAAGGACTTTCTGGCGTTCGAAATAATATTAACTAAGAGGGAAGAAAAAAAATATATATAGAGACGTATTGTTCTACTATGACTTTTTTTTGTGTGTGTGT